GCGAGAATATTATACCGCCTTGCACCATTCGAAAGCCCTAAACCCTAAACCCTAAACCCTAACCCCTAAACCCTAAACCCTAAACCGTGGCTCTCAGTAATCAAGGCCTTGAGTCGTGGAGCCCGTTCTCGGTCTACCGGCCGCCCCGAAATCGCCTTTTGCCGATCATGCCGTCTGCAACGCGGAGCCCCACAAGTTTCCGTTCTCTGGGGTTTAGGGTTATTTAGGTCGAGGGTTTAGGGGTATTGGGGCTTTGGATCTACAAAACCCAAGAGCTTCGATCCTAACATATCCTGGCCCCAAAGCCACAAGCCCTACGGAAACAATCCCTGAGTCAGGCTCCCTTGTCCCCACTGATTCTTTCGCGCTGCCACACCTCCACAGGGGGCGTGGGTCCTCGAGGGTTTGAGGGTTGAGGACGTAGGGATACTGGTTTAGGATGGGACTCGGATTTGTGGCGTAGCCTTCAAGCCCTTATATTTAGATACAGCTAGCCGACAGCCAGGCCATAAGTATCAGGTATAGTATCCTGCCCAAGTGACCGTCTACTTCTCTCGGTTCTTGTGCCTATAAACCCCAAGCCCTAAACACCCGGAGCCCTAAACCGTAACTTCGAAGCGCTATCCTTGTTGGACAAGCCCCGACCTCCGTTGCAGTGTCCTTCTGTTTAAGTGGTGTCTCTGTAGCTGTGGCTCCATGTTGAGATCAATTCGGCGCTTTGAGGATTCTTTAGGAGCAAAGGCTCCTAATTACACCCCGAACCCTGCGCTTCAAGGTCTGCAGCACTTAGGGCTGAGGCTGGGAACTGCGTGGCTGAGGGTTGAAGAGTTTTTATGGCATTGCAGCCCGGAGTTAGAGAGCATAGAGATCAGTCAGTCATCCAGTACCGTGAGCTGTCTAAGCCTGGTTTAGGGGTTCCGTCATTTGTTAGGACAGGCATTGAGTCAATGAGGGGCTACACTAGAAGAGTTTCGGGTCGATGAGCTCTGTTGGGATCTCCTTAGAAAGGGGACCCTGAGCCAAAAAATTGAAGCCTGACGCTCTGGAGCCAATTAGGGTTTAGGGTTTCGGGCTTAGGGTTTAGGGTTTAGGGCCAACAGTCCGGTAGTTACTCGAGTCAAGCAAAGGTCCGCAGTAGTTGAAACCGCGAACTCAAACCCTTGGCTGTAAACCCCTAAACGCTAAACCCCAAACCCCAAACCCCAAACCCTAAACCCTAAACCCTAAACCCTAAACCCTAACCCTAAAACTCTGAACCCTTAAACCTAAACCCTAAACTCCAAATCCTAAACCCTAAACCCATCAGCCCTAAGCCCCGGCATATACCCTGGGAGATTCGAGGCCTGAAGCGCTCGAAGACGCGCCACAAGACCACGGGCGGCAGTGTTCCTGGGAGCCCGATGCCGGACACTCAGAGTCTCCCCAGCCGACGGGACCCTTAGACCACCTATAGTCTGGTTTAGGGTTTAGGGTTTAGGGGTCTCCATTTTAGTTCCTTTTTGTGGTTCCCCTAGAGTAGAAGCCCAAAAGTTGGAAACCCAATAGCCTCAATCCTTGATAGTAATGTGTAGGGAATCCCAGCACTAATTGTCCTTACTCCGGTTTCCAACGTTTTGGGGTTTACTATATAGGATCCTAAATATAAAGTTGTAACCCAAATAAAGGAACTAATTACAGTGAGTGGAGACTATAGGTAGACTGGGCCTTGAGTATGTGGTGAAGCTTAGTGTCTTTTTCCGACGGACAGCTCTCTAGTCCTGTAGGCTTTCATACAGGCTAATAGGAGCCTGACTAATCTGATAGCGTCTCATCATGTGAAGAGCCCTATAAGGAACAGCATCATTAATGATTCAAGACTCCTAGACTCCGAGACCCCACCCTGAACCCTAATAGTCCCAAAAGCTTAAAACCCCCGAAGCCCAAGATTTCCCTCTGGATGTGCCATCAGAAAAGCACCCCTGAAGAAGAAGAAGAAGCACATCGACAGTGTTAACCAGATCATCCGCTCCGCGTCCTAGATCCTCAGCCCTGAACCATGAAATCCTGAAGCCCCGAAGCCTGACAACAGCGCAACGACTTCAATCATTCTACCTGTAGTCTCCATTGCAGTTCCTTATTACGGGGTACCGTTTAGGTTCCTAACTGTGAATCTTTAAGTTGGCTTGAACCAAAAAACGAACTAAACGGAGACTATACCCATAGGCACCATAGTTGGGATTCCCTAATAGGGTCCTATAAATATAAGCCACAAAAAGGAACTACTATGGGGCCTATGGGTACTTAGCTAGTACCGAGTAGCACCCTCACAGGAGCTTCGCAGGAACCCTTAGTGGAGCCCTAGACCCTAGAGCCGAAAACCTGAACCCCTAAAGCCCTGAACCCTATGGTTTAGGGTTTGTGGGGTCTAGCACTTGAAAAATACAACCCTGAACCCTATCCCCTTGTTTCGGGTACTTCATACCGCCTGAACCCTCCACCCCCTGAGCCCTTAACCCCTTTTTGGGTGCTTAATACCCCCTAAACCCTAAACCCTAAACCCACGAAGGAACCAAACTCTCAGCGCTGCCGCACTTCTGAGCCCCACGAGGATGAGGTCTAAGGCGAATACCGCCGAGGATCGGCCTGGGTGTAGCTCAGGGTTTAGGGTTTAGGCTTAAGGGTTTAAGGGTTTAAGGGTTCAGGGTTTGGGGTTCAGGGTATAGGGTTTAGGGTCTATAGTGTTTAAGGGTTTAGGGCTTAAGGGTTTAAGGTTTTTTAAGGTTTCAGGGTTTAGTAGTTAGGGTTTCAGGATTTAGGACTTATTGGTGTGTTGGGATGTTTTTCTTTCTTTTGGTTGAGTGCAGGGTGTGTGTGTGTGTTTTGGGTTTAGGGTTTTTGTTGAAGGAGCTTTCCGTTTTTTGTGTTAGGGAGAGAGGAGCCTTCTGTGAGTTGTGTGTTTGGATGGCGAGGGGTTGGGCTTGGGGTTTACGGTTTTCCGGTTGCTGCAACGCTTTTTTCGATAGGACTTTCCCGTTGATGGCTTTGGTGGGGTCGGGGTTGAGCCGGGGGACGCAATCTAGCAGAAATGTGATTTGTCTTTGGGGCTAATTTGGGGCTTGGGACTAGAGCTTGTTGGATCTAAAACTATTCTAAACTCCCAAGACTCCTAAACCCCAAATCCCAAGAGCCCCGCGAAATTCGCTGAAACCCCCTAAACCCCTAAACCC